CCCCCGGGTCCAGGGCGCGAACCGCGGTCAACTACGTGGGAATCCAGCGACATAGCCATTACGCTAACTGCTGGTTCCCAATAAAATAATTCTTCAAAAGAAAAAGAAAGTCGCAGTATCTAGGGACCAGCAGATGGCATAATGGTCATGTTGCCGGACTCCCATGTAGTCAACCGCGGTTTTTAGTCCCAGAACTGGCAGCTTAAAACTCACACTGGGCACATGTGTGTGCGTGCCCAAGATCCTGAGAGGAGAATGGAGAAGGGACTGCAGCATGGTCATCCCTCCTGGGGGGTGATTTCTCGCTTTCTGTCTCTTTGTCTCGGTCTGTCTCTCCAGTGAATGCACCCTATAGCAAAACTCTCTAAATAAAAACAAACAAACAAAAAAGTTGCAGCCTCCTGACTTTGAAGCTGAAGCTCGACAGTTTGTTTTTTCCAAAGCCACGTCCAGAGAGACGCGAGCCGGTCCTGTCACACAGCAGGGCCAGGGAAAGCTGCAGGGAAGCAGTTTCCACCTATACAGGGCGGTCTGTGCAGAGTGGCGGGCAGGTGTCTTGGGGTCACAAATCCCCCCCCCCCCCCTCCTGCCGCACTCCCTGGGGAATTCCACCTGGTGGCACCAAAGAAGCCCTTTGGGGAAGCCACAGTGAGAAGTCTTGAAAAGGGAACCAGGTTTAGAGGCCAAGAGTGACTGATAGTCTCCTGAGTCGGGGGGTTTGTGGGACATCGTTATTTGGGGTTATTCAGGTCATTCAGAGCTATTCGGGGTCAGGGCGGGCAGCCCAGTGAGCCCTGGAGAAGAAACCTGCCCCATCAGGACTCGGGGGGGCTGCCTCTCTAGTGTAGCTCACTCAGGGTGTGAGGCCCACTACCGCTGGGGGCCCTCACTGCAGGCCCCAATACTACCCCCCTTGCCCCTCATGGCAGGCCAAAGACCAGGCACCAAGGTTCAAAGTCCTCAGTGGGGTTTCTTTCCTGCCTCAGTCACTCAACTGCCAAGAGCTGGGGGGCGCCTTCTGCAGCCAGCACCCGGGACTGAGCCTGGGTTTCTTCTGAGGCCGGAACCCTGGCTCTCCAATCTCCGCACTGACCTTCCTGCGCTCCTGACCGGGGCTGCCTGGGTCCTGGTGCCTGGGGACCGAGCCTCTGCCTGTGCCCCTAGTCTCCCGCCAGGCCTTTGTCAGGCTCCGGTGAAGGATGGGCGCATGGCGAGGAGCAGGGTACCGCCATCCTGGAGCCCCTGCTTAGGCGCAGTTCAGAGCACAGCTGCCCGTTTCCGCCGACAACAGGGAGGCCATTACTCTCCCCAGGAGCAGCCCTGGGGGCCAGGAGGGAGGGGCAGGAGAGGGCTGGGCGGATTCACACCCTCTTGCTCGGGCCTCTTCAGCCCCCCTCTGCCCTCTCCCCCTTGTCTGCCTTCCCCCCACCTGCCTGCCCTCCCCCCACCTGTCTACCCAGGCAGCCAGTGGAGATAGTCACTGGGTTGTTGGGGCACCCACTCCTTGCTCAACCAGGGGTTCTCAGGATCGCTGGGGTTGGGTGAAGTCTCCCCTAAGGCCCCAGAGCATTTAGACAGCTTGGCCGTCCATGTGGGCACCCTCCCTCTGGTCAGGTCAGCCTGCAGGAGCCGGACACAACTGAGCCCCGGTTCCTCTGAGGCAGAAACAAGTCCAGGGAGGAGCGGCCTGACCCTGCCTGCCAGCCACAGCCACAGCTGAGAGGAGCCCTCTGTGCCCACCCGGCCTCTCTGCCCTGGCTGTAAGTCCCCGTTCCTGGAGGCCTGCAGACGACAGCGTGTGCTTGAGCGTGAAGACGGGCTCACCAGCTGATCCTCCTTCCCCACCTGGGCCTCAGGCCTGTGCCCTGCCCACGGATGCCGTGGGGACAGGACAGGACAGGACAGGGCCCCGCAGGCTCAGGCAGACCCCCAGGCCCACTGTTGGTGCTCCGAGGGGAGCATTCTCTCAGGGAGCTGGGGCGAGGCCTCCAGAGGGTTGAGGGGAGCTGGCTGTCCCTCTCAGACTGTGAAGCAAGTCCCCTTATCCTGAGGCTTCCTTTATCCCCTCCCTGCCACTGCCTGCCTCTCCCGACCCCCACCTATTCACACCCACCTGCTCAGCCCGACTTTATTTCTGACTCCACATTGAATTCACCTGGGAAGGGTTTTTTGTTTTTTGTTTTTGTTTTTGTTTTTAGAGATTTTTTGTTCTAAGGTACGTGTTGTGCTTGCTGGAGAGACAGAGGTACAGAAAGTGAGAAATCACCCCCTGGGGTATGGCCATGCTGCAATCCCTTCTCCTTTCTCCTCTCAGCATCTTGGGCACGCATGCACAAGCGTCCAGCGAGCTTTAAGCTGCTGGGTCCGGGACTCAAACCATAGTCGACTACATGGGAGTCCAGCGACGTAACCATTTCTCCATCTGCTGGTCCCCTGGGAAATTTTAAAAAGCCACGGGTGTCCCATCAATGCCGTCTAACTCTCTAGAGCTGTGGTTAAGGAGCTGCTCAGGCAACCTCCTCCTTCCCTTCCCGTCATACCTGCCGATCTCGGAGTCCTGAGCTGCTGACTAACTCTAACTATGGGTGAGGGGCTTTGTGGCTGCCCGGGCTTTGGGGGATATGTGCAGCTTACGTAGGGTCTCTGTCCTCCCAGGGAGCGAGGGCTCCAGACGCGCAGCCAAGAATTAACCCAGAGCAGACCCTCCTGGACCCGGGTGTGCAGGAGGCAGGAGGCAGGAGAAGAGCGCCGGACTCTCCCAGGGAACCAGGGACCGGCCGGGGCAGGCCAGTCAGCAGCACCCTCCTCCAGCCAGAGGCTTGGAAAGGCAGAGTTGAAAACACTCAATGGAAGGGGATTCGGAGCGAGCCACATGCTCTCTCCTGTGGCAGTAACGGGAACTGCACCCCAGAGCCAGCAGGGGCGGCCCAGCAAGATGAAGGGACCTGGACCTATTACCTCCAGTCGTGGCTGTTCTTCGTAACTCAGCGCAGGTTGAACTGTGGAAAATCCCCGAGTGAACTGAAAGTTCAGTAACTTTCACAGTCTATGTGACCTTCCTGGAGAGGGAAGGGCAAGGTCCCCAAGAATCCTGGCTAGGAAGCTGGTCACAGACCTCAGCATGTCACCTGGGGCAGTGGCCAGCCCTGGTCGCCACCAGGAAGCTTGTTAAGCATCATCCTGGTGGACCCACCCCACAGGTCACACAAGCAGGTCCAGAGGGGTTCCTGGGTATGTGGGGGCTGGGAAAGCACCCCAGCTCTCCAGGGTCACAAGGAGGAGGCCGTGCAGCGGCTTGGAGGGGAAGTGACACTTGTAGGACATTTCTCCTCCAGAGCAGCCGGAATTCCCCTCTGAGTGTTGCAGGCTTTCTGTATAGAATGTTCTGGAAACATGCCTCCTCTCCACTGCCTCCTTCTCAGCTCAACCCCAGGCCTGGAATGTCTCTCTTTCTACTTGCCTTGCTGCCCAGGCAAGAAGCCCTGAAAGCCCCCTGGCCAGGCTGCCCGTTCCTGCTTTCCCCACCTTGGGTAGGCACTCCATCTCCTACGTGGAAATACGGAACTCTGCAGAGGGTTGGCCTGCATGTCACTTGTCCTCAGCGACTTGTGTTCAGAGCGGGCGTCACCAAGACCTGGGGACTGAGCTGCAGAGGCCCTGTCTCCTCCAGGCTGCTCCCCTGCTCCAGGCTTCTCTCTCCCCCCAGCTCTCCAAGGCTGCAGGTGGCCAGTGTGGTGACACTGGGAGCTGGGGACACGTCACGGCCTCACTCGGGGCCTCAGTTTCCCCTTCTGTGAAATAGCGACTGTCCGGTTGTCCTCGGAGGACCTTCCTGCTCAGGCAGGGAAGTGGCTCTCTAGGACTGCTGGTCGCCAGGGCCTGGGCAGTGTGTTAAGACCACCGGCTTCATTCTGGAGCGGCCGGTGGTCCCCTGCGGCTCACCCAGACAGTGCTGTTCATATTAGACTCTGTCGACTTGCTGCCGTCCCTGGTCCTGGCAGCTCTGTCCCCTCCCTCAGGATGTGAGGAGACAGGATGCTAGGCGGTGCCTTGACCCCTCCACTCACCCACTTTCAGAGCCCCTCCATGGGAAGGGAGGAGGAGGCAGGGGCTCAGGCTGCATGCGGAAACTCCTGCGGAGCATGCCGCAGCCTCCTGGCCCAGAGACCACTGTGGGGACAGCCCAGGCTAAGGCTGCCCTGGAGAGTCCCTGCCCAAAGGGACTGGTGGTCACAGCGGGCCCCCTCACTGTGGCCCTGACTCACCAAGCCAGCATCCAGACAGGTGGATGGGAGTGGGATTCGCCCAGGCGCCCTGGCCCCCAGTTGCCCAACCCCGCCCCATTGGGCCCCGTGGCGCACTGGGAGAAGGGACAGTGCAGGCCATCATGGCTGCAAACAGCTGCAGCTCCACGTCCAGGCATTGAGGCAGCCCCTCCCATGCATGGTCGCTCCCAGGCTCTTAGAGGCACACCCGGTGCCCGGGGCTGCACCCCACAGACCCAGAGACTTCACAGGCAAGCCAAGGGGCTGGAAACACAGCAGGCTGCGTGCCCTGGCAAGGTGAAGCAGCCAGGCAGTGAAAGGAGGGCGCAAGGGGGCCGCGGCAGAGGGAAGGAGCTGCTTTTATTAGGGGCAGGAGGTGGCACAGGCAGGAGGCCATGCCCACCCAGGGGTCACGTGGGCCTGGCCGGCCCTTTAGCCTGAGAGCTAGCAGTGACACAGACAGGTCTAGGGCCTGGGGAAGACAGGTCGTCCACGGCCGCCAGCCAGCCCCGGGGCACTGGGTGGCCACAGCTGGCCCTGAAAAGACAAAGCGGGATTTGGGCAGGTGGCTGCAGAGGCTGGGGCTTCAGTCTTCTCCTGTCTCTCCTCCCTTGAGGGCTTCTCCACGGCCTCCACGAATCGCATTGCTGCCACCAGCCAGGTGCTTAGACTCATTTGAAAACAAGGGACAATGACGGGTCCCCACCCACTGCGTGCTCCCCCAACACACCTGTGGTCACAGCTCATCCTCACCCACTTGCCTGCAATGGGAAGGAGGAGAGACAGGGAGGTGAGTGGGAGGGCCGGGCCAGGGAGCCCCTCCTTCCTCAGTTCCCCAGCAGCACTCACCGGCGCTTCTTCGCTCCTCCGCAGCGGAACCTTTTGCCTTGAGAAGAGAAAGGGGGGTTCATTTCCATGGGCCTCTCACCCTCCCAGGAGACCCTAGAGGACTCGATTCTTCCAGTTTTGAGAGACTGGTGACGCCTCCTTCCTGCCAGTGTCACCACAATGCCCAGCCTGGAGGCCACACTGAACTCTCTCTTCACATAGGGCTGGACCGTAAGCATTCGAGAGCTTCAGTCAATCATTCAGTCAGTCAACAAACACTTCCCGCAGTGGTGCACAGTTGGCTGTGAGTGCCCTGAACACGGCGGCTGAGACTAGGTCAGTGTGGGTGCAGCTGACACGGGGCTGGGCACACACTAGCTGCTCAATGTGCACTTGGAGAAGGATGGCAGTGAGTCCGAAGCTGAGATCCCTGCTGGGCCTGCCTACCTCCAATGTCTGTGTGCTCAGTGCCCCTGCGGCCCACCCTCGAGGGGCCGAACAGGCAAATCAGGGAGCCAGCTCTCCCTGTGGCCCAAAGTCTTCAGGTGGAGCGGCCGTGCCCATGGGCCTCTCGAGTTCTGGGCCGCGGAGGTGCGATTGCTATTTAACGTGGTTTCTTTTCACTGCTGGTCTTTCTGTGTATTTTTAGTTGTACCAAAACAAGTCAGAAAGCGTGCATTAACTTCCTGTGGGTGCCCGCTGCAGCAGGGGGATGTATATGGACCCTCCAGAGTAGCCCATGCCCACACCGGACCCTGCTTTAAGTACTTTTTCAACTGCCATGACTTCGGGTGCTACTGCGACATCCTGAGGCAGGTGGGGCCATTCCTATATAGCAGACGAGCAAGCCGAGGCCCGGGGTCTGGGCTCCCTGGGAGGGGCAGCGGGACCAGGCTCTGGCTCCCAGCCATGCTCGCTCCAGCTGACCCCAGCTCTGCTGCCTTTTTTGTTTTAAAGACAGGGCCTGGAGGTCGAGGCATCCCTCGTGTTGCAGAGAGGATGGAATGGGCTAAAACAGAGCTCGAGCCTAAGAAGGTGCCAGGTGAGGGCTGGTGCCCAGTTCCCTTCCTGGCTCTCTGTTTACCCTGCAGGCCCCAGGAAGGGAAGGAGCAGGCTCCCATCCAGCAGCTCTTCCTGAGCCCACTAGAGGGGGCGCTTGAGGAAGTGGGAACATGACCCCGTTGTCCAAGGACCCAGTGGCCCCTATCCCAGCACTGTATCCTAACAGCACCATCTCGCCTAGGGAGGAGGACTGGAGACACGCTGCTCCCCAGCTCGGGTCTGGAAAACCAGGGTGCTAGGTGAGGGAGAAGCAGCCCTGACCCCGCCCCACGCGGCCGCCTGCACTTACTGAGGATGATGATCAACCCCACGACGAAGGCCAGGCCAGCAAAGATCAGGCCCCCGTTGCGGACAGTCTCGTAGTCTCCGGGAAGAGAGGGCAAGGGAGGCAATGGGTCATCCCTCCAGGAGCCCCCCTCCACCCACCCGCAGCCTGGTGGCCACTGGGGGAGCAAGGGGGACCACGACAGGGGCCCTGGACTGGAAGAGGACAGGGCCAGTTGCTTAGCAGGGGCAGGGAGAGGGCAGGGTTCCTCCGGCTTACCATAGTAGAATGGGTCCACATCCCCCTTGGGGCTGCCACCTGGGGAGAGAGCCAGTAGAGGGATGAGGGGCAGCCACAGATGCTGCGAGTCCTGGTCCTTTCCTTCCTAGCAGACCCCCAAAGGCTTAAGGGGAAGGGGCGGCTGGTTAGGAGGCCCTTGGAAGAGAAGGTTAGTGGGTCTGCTAATGCCCCTGGGTGGGGGCTGCCCTAGGCACCGAATACTCAGCTCTGAAAGCAGGATCCATGCTGCAGCGGCAGGGAGGGGGCTCTGGCCACCCTGGGACAAGCAGGCTCCTGCCCCTCACTTTATACCAGGAAGAGCCCTGCCAGACCTCCCGGCCCCTGTTCACATAGCTCCTCAGCTGAGGGTGCTTAGCAAATGTTTGAGAAATGCAGAAGTGAACAAAAGAGGGAAATTGAGGCCCAGTTTGGAGACTTGTCCAAAGTCCCAGGGGAAGGCAGAGGCAGAACTGGGTCTTGAATCTAGATTCTAGCTTCTGCTCTCTCGTGTTGCCGTCTAAGGGGGAGGCAAAGCTACGTGAGAGACAAGACTATATAGTGTTGGCTGTGTGCCAGGCCAAAGCAACAAAACAGCAACTCACTTAACCATTACGACAACCCGACGAGTCGTTACTACAGTCCCGACAGACCCGAGGCCCGGAGAGGGTAGAGGATGCACCCAGAGTTACACAGCAAGTAAGAGCTGCGACCTGAACCAGCTGGTAGGTCACTCCGATTCTGGAAGCTGGGGCCTCACAGTGGCATGTCAATGAAGCCGCTCTCCATGCGGCATGCCAGTAGGAAGGTCCCAGGTTCAAGCCTGACGCCCCCCGAATCTGCTAGGCACGTGCACGCTGTGACCTGGGGCTGGCTGAGGTTGCGGCGGATGGTGGCAGGTAGACTCTGTAGAGAGTGCCAACTCTCTCTCTTGCTCATGAAAGAAAGCAATAAATAAACTGAAAAAAAGGGGTGGCGGACAGTGCAGCGGTAAGGCGTGGAGCTCCGTGAGGCTGGCCGATGTGGAAAGATGGCGAGTTCACACCCGAGACACCTGCGTGCACTGGGCAGTGCCTGAGCCGGGCCAGTGAGGCCAGGAGTGAATCATGGCAGCGGGGCCCCGTGGGGAGTGCTGGGTCTCTGCTGTCCCTCTCTGTCTCACTCACTCATGGAATAAATACATACACTTTAAAAATGAAAAAAATTTAAAGGGGGCCTGCAGATGGTGCAGCAGTTACGTTGTTGGACTCCCGACTCACATGGCCAACCGAGGTTCAAGTCCCGGACCTGGTGGCTTAAGAATCAAGCTGGGCAGGGGTGCATGCGTGCTCAAGATCCTGGGAGGAGAATGGAGAAGGGATTGCAGGGTGGCCATTGCCCCTGGGAGGTGATTTCTCACTTTCCCTCTCACTATTTCTGTCTCTCTCTGGTGAGCTCACACACCCTAAGGCAAAACCTCTCAAAAAATAAATGAAATGAAAAATAAGAAAAGAATGCAGACCTTCACCCTTTGCTCTGCCCCCTGGAGGTGGGAAGGAAGGAGGCTGAGCTGCAAGGTCACCTGGTCCTGCCCCCTCCTCCCGTGGCTCCGCCCCCTGACAGCAGGTGTCCCTGTTGGGGCGGGGCCCAGCCCTATCAGCAGGTGCCCTTGCCCTTGGACAGCTGGAAGGTGGCCTGGCCAGGGCTCTTCTGCCCCAGGGAGGCGGCCCCTCTTTCCTGCCCTGCTGGAGCACCAGGGACGTGCCCAAGGCTGCAGGAATG